CACCAGTGACTGGTGAACCAGGTTATCACGCCCAGATCCACTCTGAGGATGGAAACCCACTACCTCTGTGGTCTTCTTCCCAAGGATACAAGGCCTGATGTGGTCATAAGGAAGAACCAAAGAGACCCAGTCATCCTGAAGAAGGGAGAATCTGTTCTTTAAAACTCTGAAATGTAGGAATAGACTAGAAATAGAGCTCAGAGATAAAAGAGTGCTTGCCCCATTAGAAGGGAGGTGTACCGCTCCAAACTTAAGGAAACTATAGAGTCCAGACAGCTAAAAGGACTCCTGGCTAGGACTCTGAGTCAGTAGAGAGCATCTAATGGGTATATTTGCCTGTCCCTATAATTCCAGCACTCAGGAGGCTGAGGCAGGGACTCAAGGGGAGTTCAAAGTCAACAGGACTACAGAGTGAGACAGACAGGCCTTTTAATTCAGGCATTATCTCAGAATGCTCTAACTTCCTGAAATATGAAAATATACAAACTGGGTATAGTGAATAAACCTGTAATCCCAACACTCAGGAGGAGGCAGGGTGGGGAAAGGGGGTCTCTTTTCAAAGCCAGCCTGATTCCACAAAGCGAGACCGCCTCAAAAACAAACTGGAGTTTCTATACTTAAAATCGTAACTCATTGAATCCAAACACTCAAGTCAGAGAGGTAGCGCTGTTCACAGACTGCTTGCCTACCCTGCATGAAGCTTTAGGTTTGATGTTGAGAGCCATGTAAACCAGGCCTGACAGGTCACACTATTACCCCAGCACTTAGAAGGCAGAAGGCAGAAGGATCAAAATTCAAGGTCATCCTCAAACCAGCAAATTCAAGGCCAGACCCTGCCTCGAAAACACAAAGCAACCCAGCATGGTGGCTGAATCCCAGCAATTGTGAGGCAGAGGCAGGAGGCACTGGAAGCCAGACTGGGCTACATATTGAGTACCAGGGCCAGCCAAGAGTACATTAAAGAGACCCTGTCTCAATTTATTTTTTAAAAAAGTGCAGGTCGGTGGTGATGCACGCCTTTAGTCCCAGTGCTCAAGGCATAGGCAGATCTATCTCTATGAGTTCACGAACAGCTGTGAGTTCCAGGACAGCCAGGACTACACAGTGAAACCCAGTCTCCAAAAAAAAAAAAAAAAAAAAAAAAGGAAGAAAAGAAAAAGGGGGGAAAGTGAAAAATGGGGTGTCTAAATAGTCTACAGCAGAATGACAAAAATCCTAGCATAAATTCAGTGAATGTTTGGTTTATGCCACCACTGTCCAGCCTTTTTTTTTTTTTTTTTTTTTTTTTTTTAAGGGCAGGGTGCTGGGGCTCACAGACATCTTCCTGCATCTGCAGCTCTCTGGGATTAAAGGAGTTCAGCACCACGGGCTCTGACACTGTAACTTTTAACTTAGTGGACAGGGCCATGTGGGAGGGGAACTATCTGAAATATGCAAAGACGCACTGGAAACCAGTGTGCATGACTCAAAACATCACACTGGAAACCAGTGTGCATGACTCAAAACATCACACTGGAAACCAGTGTGCATGACTCAAAACATCACACTGGAAACCAGTGTGCATGACTCAAAACATCACACTGGAAACCAGTGTGCATGACTCAAGACATCACAAGCTGGGGGCACAAGAAATGCCTCACCACTTGCTACTCTTCCAGAAGACTCAAGTCCAGTTCCCAACACTCACATGGTGGCTCATAACCTTCTCTAATTTCAGTCCCAGAAGTCCACACCCTCTCTAGCCTCCTAGCCTCCGTGGGCACCAGACATGCATGCCATGCAGATTTATCGCAAGCAAAATACAGCATTTCACATAGTTTTTTTTACTTTTAAAAAAGATTTTTAAAAAGTCATCCAATAGTCAAATGTAGAAGCTTAATTTTTGTGTCTGCTCAAGTTTCATAGTTCATTCTGAACACTGGGATGGCTGAGACCCTGGTTCCATCCTCAGCTGAAATAAAGATAGAGAGCAAAAAAAAAAGTTATAGAAAAGATATATAATCTCCAACTGGACATTCAAGTTTTCATGAAGTAGTTTAAATACTTTTTAAAATGTGGTAGAGTCTAATGGGTCAGGCCTGTAATTCCAGAACCTGGCGGGTAGAGCATAAAGCCAGACTGGGCTATCCAATCAAATACTGACTACCATGGCAGCCCGGAATGAGAAAGACCCTGACTCAAAAATACTAACTAAAGTTAAAAACAAACCATACCAGAGATAAGTAAAATGCAACTAACTCCTCAAACTAAGGGAAAGCCTAAGTTGGAAACCACTTAGAAAAGCTTTGCTCCCATCACAACTACTATCTTTATAACATTCTACATAAAAATTTTCCAAAGCTTCAGTGTTAGTTAACAGGGCTAAAAATATCTCATAAACCAAGTCTGAAGCCTCTTCATAAGCATACTAAACAGTATAACCCAAAGCAACCAGGAGACTGAAAGCCAAGTGCCTTCTCCAAGACAAACGCCAACATGCTGCCTTGAAAGGAGCCCTATATGTTCCTCTAATCTGCCACACACATTTTTTACAAGAAATAAAATACATCTTAAGCATTCTATATTAATTTTAATGCTATTTCAAGATAACTGAATTTTCCTGAGCTTTTTTCAAAAAATAAGCCCACCATGAAAATAGATATTCAAAAATCACAATAATCAAAACTAGAGGTAACTCCACTGAAATCATCTGACCGGAAGCAAAGAAAGGGCACAGATATGATGGCATCTAAAAATATCCTTGTTAGAAAATAGGGATGAAGAAGCGCTGGTATTACTTTGTTGTGACCAAAAAGATACCTGAATGTTCATAATGACCTTTAACAGAAAAACCATTGTGCTAAAACATTTTAAATTAAAAAAGGATTGTTTAACCAGTCTCATTCTTTAACAAAATGTTTAAAGAAGGAACACCTCAGTCGACAACTACATAATATTTAACCTGTCTGTAAAGGACCGGGGGTGGATGGATGAGAAAAATCCAGTATGTGACTTACTTAAATCTGAAAATAAGGCAAAAACAATGTTTAGATCTTTAAGGGACTCTATTCATTTGCTCATTCTAATTCAAGGAGTCGCCTCTGCACACACCTCTCTCCTCCAAGACAGCAGCCAATTGTTGTGTAATTCCTCCCTCCAACGCTTCAACTCCGCTAATATACAAAGGAAAGGACTTTGCATTGTGGCCCTGTAATGAATCTTTGTTAACTAAAACCCTATTTAGAAACAGTCGTTTAATTTTCTTAATTTAGCATACGTAAAGTCATATAGAGAGGGAACACAGAAGACTTATTATATGCAAGAAGGTTAAGGCCAAGCTTTACAAAAGAAAATACTCTATGTTCTTTCTTTGGAACCCTTCTCTCTACCTTCTGTACAGTGAAAGCACTGATCAAAACACAAACTGAGAGGGAGACCCTTATTTTCGGCCTCCATGGCTGTATGACTAAGCCTCCATGGTTTTCTGTTGTCCTTTTAATCCAAATACCTACTGCAAAAGCCTAACCACTGTTAAAAGAACATTCCTCTTCAGAGCGTTTTATGTAATGTATTCCCAGTATACACCTCTTAATCCTGTAAAACAGTTATTAGTTAATGTTGCAATCAGCTAGGGAAAAGGGTAGAAGCAGGCACTGTGGTTCGGTTTTAATACAGGCTTCTCGTGGATTTTCTAATTCTGAGGTCTACAAGGCACAAAGGTTGAACGCCATTAAGTTTTCTTATCATTTTAGTGCCTTTTCATCCCTTTCGAGTCAATGATTCAAATTCTGTTTTCCTTCCTAGTAGCGATTACATTTAACAAAACACATTCCATGATACTGATAAAAGGCTGGGTAACTTAGCTCCACAGCTGGATCGCCTACAACATTTCTTGCAGGCAGAAAGATAAAGCAAGAAACCAGAAACAGGGAGTACCTGTTTGGGGCTAAGTGGAGGAACATGAGAACTGGGAATTCCAGGGTCAAGAGGGAGAGGGAGATTACTTTCTGTTACCTTCTCATGCTCTGCGCCCATTAAAGGTGTACTACCCAAATAAAATCCATTCCTTTGAAAGTGAGAACTGTAGCCTTTACAGGAAGAGTTTCGGGGACACATGTCTGCAGAGGCTTCAAATAACCCGCTTTTTACCAAGAGCATCTGCTTTTGCTCCATCTACATCAGGTAAATGCTGCTGTAAACGCAGGATCAGCAAAGTGCGGGTGAACCTTCTGCTAGCGCGGCGTTCCTCTGCTCGCCAGACAGCCCTCCTGCGCGCCTCCTCCCTCCCTCTCGTGCATTCTGAGCGGCTCCGCCGATTCCCACATAAAGTGGGTCCTGGCCGCCATCTTAGAGAGTCATTCACACCAGCCGGACCACGGCACCACGCTTCCACGCCTCCCAAAACTGTGCCCGACCACTTCCTCGCTGCTCTCCCACATCTTGCACAGGGGGTCAAACTCCAAGTCTGAGGCAAGCAGTGTATCTGAAATCTGCATAATGTGAAACGTCAAGTCTGACCACAGAACACAGGAGCAGAGCGAATGCGACAATGCACGTGTTTGCACGTCGGTGCGTTATCAATTTCCCATGCAGAGACCCACGGGAGATCCACCAGGAAATTAAAGGGAGCACTTCGCTGAGGGTTTCCACTGCCAAACAACCCGCTAAGTGTTTTCTCCTCAACATGGAAGATACGCTCCTAGAGGGCAGGGACCTGGGGCGAGTGAGGGGTGGAGCAGCCCCGGCAGAGAAAGTTCCCATCTGCTCGCGCTCCAGCTGCTGCAGTCCCCCTTGAGCCGGCGGCACGGAGGCCAACTGCGTCTCCCGGCCTCCCCCTCTCCCGCATCTCAGGAACAACGTAGTAAACACCGGGAGTCCCGGGCAGCGCGCACCTCCCCCAGGCCTGCGGAGGACAGCCCGGCAGGTTATGAATGGCCTCACTATGCCCAGCTCCTTTTCACACGCGGGCACGCGCACACGCGCGCCCCAGAGGCGAAGATTTAATACCCCGGTAACAGCAACGGCCAACAGAATCAATGGTCCCCCATCAGACGGAAAGAAAGGCGCTCACGCTCCCCAGGCCGCCTCAAAGGGGCTCCAGACCCGGCGGCACAACCCTGTTTCCCCGGGCTGACTCTAATAAGGATGCGCCCCTAATTTCACCCCCCTTCACCCACTAGATAAGTGGGAATTCAGAGTACGCCCAACTTGGAACCTTCCAGGGTATTGGCTATCAGGAAAAACTTAATTTCCACGAGCGATCACAGATTGCTGTTTTCTTTCTCAATGAGTCAAAGTATGAATAAATCCTCATTGTATGTAGGGTTGCATTCTGAGGCCTCTACCAGTTACCGGACACACGTTTCTTGGAGCAAGCAACAAGAGCTGAATGCTACCAACGCCTATGAAAAGCAACATTTATTTTTATCTTTCACACGCAAAAAGTATTTAGAGAAACTGAAAAGTCACACCTAATCGCTAAAGATTTGCACTTTTTTGGCTATTTCATTAACGAATTTGAAGGTGGACGATCTAGTGTAAAAACCGCTCGGTCACCAAGCGGCGCGGGAATGCATCCGCGGCGCCTTGGCGTCCACGCTCCCTTCCCCACGAGCCCCGGGACACAGGCAGCCCATCTAGCCGCAGCCGAGCACCAGGCAGCCCGCTCCACCCAGCCGCGCCGACAGCAGAAGCATCTACCGCTGCACTAATCTTCCGAGAGCGGTCCCTGCTCCGGGCGCCTGCCACCTCCCGGTGCCGCACGATGCCCGGCGCGGCTACCGGCGTCCGCACAGCCCCGACTCTGCGGGCGCTCCGGGACCCGGCCGACCGGCCGGCCGCGTTATACTGGGGAGCGGAGCGGCGCGCAAAGAGGCGAACCCGCGGGACCCACCGCTCCCGCTCCCTCGGTGGCCGCACGGCAGCCGCCCGCCCAGAAAGCCGGAGCCAGCCGCGCGTCGCCGCTCCGCCCGTGGCCAGCAACGGGCCGGAGAGGCGCCCGAGGTGCCAGCGCGGCCCCGGGCCTCGTGTCACTCACCGTTTGAAATGCTCGATGATCTTCTCTTCCCGTACGTTCTCCGGTAAGTTTCCCACCCAGAGATGCCTGGTTTCCCGGACCATGCTGGGCGGCGAGCCGGCGACCGTGGTGGCTGGCTCCCCCTCGCCGGCTTCGTACGCGGCCGTCAGCGCAGGGAGGCGGGCGCCGGGGCGGCGGCGGCGGCGGCTGCGGCGGTGGCGTCGGCAGCGGCGGCGGCTCCTCCGGCTCCCCCCGGTGCAGAGACCATCCCTTTCCCCCAGGTTCTGACTCTCGGGCCTCGCAGCTCCGCTCTGCCGCCACCACACACCCGAAGCCGACCCTCGCGCTCCGGCGGCGCATGCGCGCGGGCGGCGGCGGGCGGGGGAGCGGGAGGAGGGGCGAGCGAGACCCGGGCGGCCGCGACTACGACGGAGCCGGCGCTGTGGCTGCCGGACGCTTCCCACCGGCGCGCGTGGCCCGCCTCCCGCCGCCTGGCCACCGCCCCCTGGCCGCGGGCGCGCGCGCGTCCTCCCGCCCCGACGCCGAGTTCCTCCCAGCTGGCGCGCAGGCGCGCGGAGCCCCGAAGTGGGAGGAATGCGGAGCCGGGAAGCGGCGCCCGCGCACTCTGCTTACTGCGCAGGCGCGACGCGCGGCGGGAGGCTGGCTGCCCGAGGCGTCCAGGGATGCTGGGGCAGCTTCTCCCCGCGGGCAGGCTTTGCTCTGGGGAAACAGGAGAGAACCGGGTTAGCTTCGAGGCACAGCGGTTTCTAGAGGCCAAAGTCCCCAAGCCTGTCCGCCCTGTGTCCCGCCCCTGACCGTTTCCGGACGCCTGGATCCCCGCCTGCTTGGGAAAGTGGTCGGGACCAAGACGCCCTTTTCACCGCCCAGACAAGGGAACTACCGCTGCAGAAACCCATCCCTCCCAAGAATCATTGGCTTGTAACATTAAGCAACTTTTTATATAGGAGCTTGCGAAACCTTTTCCAAGATGTCTCTTTGCTCATCGTTACCGTACACAGGAACTAGAGCTGAAATGATACAGGCGTCTCATACAGTTACCCGCGGAGAGTTTGTTATCTAAACAGGGAGGGTTAGACCTCCAGCCTTTCCAAGCTTTTGAAACTGCAGTTGACCTTTTATATCGAGCCCTCTTACAATGCAACTGTAGAATAACAGGGGGGAAATCTAGCTCATGAAAACAGTCAGCAAACTCATACTTTAACTCTTCATACACAAAAATAAAATGGTGCTTCAGGTACATCCTAGACTCTTTTTATGTTCAAAGTGCATAGAACACTCAGTCTAGGGTTCTGACTAAGGACCTCGCCTAACAAGGGCTCTAATCATTGAGCTACAGTCCCAGTGCTTGCTGTTGCTTTTTTGTTTGTTTGTTTGCTTGCTTGCTTGGCATAATTTGGAAGAGTCTTTCAGAGCAGTTGTTTGTATTCTGGGAAAGGGACTCATACTAGCTCAGGCTAGTCTCAAACATCTAATTCTGCCTCAGCCTCCCGGTACTGAGACTACAGAACTGACCACCATACTGCTACACCAACTGAATGCAGTATTTTGCATTGGGAAAATCATAAACAAAAGCAATACTATCTGGGGTCACTTGCACATAATTGTTTCTTTTGTTCTACAAAGGGTGAACTGCTAGCTTTTTTCTTTCTTATTTGTTCATTTTAGTCTGCCACACAGTCTAAGTTTCCGGATGGTGGTGGAATCTGAGTATAAGACGCAGTACCCTTTCTTGTATTGGTTTAACACTCTATACTGGATTTAATATACCTGACTTCAGCCAGTTTGATCACTTGAAATGATTTTAGGACATTCACAGAACTAAACAAGTCCCCAAATCCATACATTACAAATGGGAGCCAGCACTTCAGAGGCGAAGGGGAAATCATTTACTCAAAGCCAGCCTGAGCTGCAGAGTAAATCCCTGGCTCAAGACAAAAAACAAAACAGAGGTCTGCTACTGACACAGCTCAGTTGGGAAAGTACTTCGGGAGCATGGAAGAAGCCCTGGTTTTAGCTGGATGGTGCATGCCTTTAACTCCAGCACTCGGGAGGCAGAGGCAGGATAATCTTTCTGAGTTCCAGGACAGTCAGGGATACATAGTGACACCCTGTCACAGAAAAAAAAAAAAATGAAAAAAAAATCCAAGTACAGGGAGCCATTGAATAACTCAGGTAAAAGTGCTTCCCACCAAGCTCCAACCTCACATGGTGGGAGGACAGAACCAACTCCTTCCAGTTGTGCTCTTACCAACACATGAGTGCAATGGCTCATACACACCCGGAAAAATAAGTAAATGGGGGAGGAGCAAAACACCGAGAGAAAAACAAGTGGATTCAGTAATCACTGGCTTGCTTCTGATTTCTGACCTTTTCTATTGCAAAAGCTGTTGATTAACAATGCAAGGGACAAGCAAGTAATTTTTGCATAGCCGGGAATGGAGTGTTTCATTTTCTCAGTGCTTTGCATTTTTTGCTGGCAACACATCAGGAAACACTGGTAAAGCTGTTTTCCGTTTCCATCAGTGTTACAAAATACTTAAGGGGGATGTCTTCATGAGCCTGTATTTTTGTAAGTTTCCATAGAATGGGAGACCAAAACAAAGAGGAACAAACAAAAAAGCAGTCTACTTAATTTTCTGCTTTCTTTTTTCTTTTTTAAGTCTTAGGTCAAGACTGGAGAGATGACTCAGCAGTTAAGAGTGATTACTGTTCTTTCAGAAGTCTAAGTTAGGTTCTCAACACTCAGTATGGCTCACAGTTAATCACATGTAACTGCCCATGTATTCCAGGCCTCTGACTTCTTTTTTTATTTTTTTTATTTCATCCAACTTTATTTTATGTGAATTGGTGTGAGGCTGTTGGATACCCTGGAACTGGAAATACAGACAGTTGTGAGCTGCCATGTGGGTGCTGGGAATTGAACCCAGGTCGTCTGGAAGAGCAGCTACTGTTCTTCACCACTGAGCCGTTGCTCCAGGCAGCCTCTGACTTGTTAAGGGCATCTTCATGATCCTGATCGAACCCACACAAGAAACACACACATAATTAGAAATAAAAACAGAGATGAACATGGGGTTTCATGCCTTTAACCCCAGCACTCAGGAGGCAGAGTTCTGCAGGCAGATCTCTGAGCTTGAAGCCAGCCTGGTCTACAGATCAAGTTCCAGGAAAGCCAGGGAAACCTAGAGAAACCTGTTTTAAAAAAAAAACTAAGTAAATAAATCTTAGTAACTGATGCTCATAACAAAAGGAGAAACAGAAGGGTTTCAGGTCTAACCCACCACATCACTGCAAAACCTATGAAAATGTAGGTTGTGGTTCTCCTGTGAAAATGGATGAACTGCATTTCATTAGAATATTAGAGAGAATTCAGAAAGGTGACATTAAAGCAGTGTCATTTGCAAAGGGGAATTAAAATAGATTTGCTTTTAATCAAGTCCTATTTTCACACTGTGAAGAGCTGCTGTATTTAGCATGCTAGACATGCTCAAAGAGTTCAGTCATGCGTAGTGGAAGCCAAGATGGGGAAAGCTTCTGAGCCCTAGACACAGGCTTTGAACATTAACATAGACACTAGAGTGGATAAATTAATATCCCTGCTGAGGCAGTAGGGCAGAATAATCACCAGATATTTAATAAAGACAGTTATACACTGAATCCCAAGCTGTTGAAATTAAGCTGTTTGATAAGAAGGCATGTACTTAAAATATATGCATCTCTTCTAAAAGCTATCATATAAAAAAAATACATCAACTAGCTCTAAAATGACCGAAGCCCTAAGCACATGAAAACAGGACAATAGCAATCTCTGACTAGCTCGTTATAACCAAGGATGGGGTTGTTCCCCAAAAATAATTAAAAAATAAAAGTATTTGAATTATTGCTATTTCTGAGAGTCTAGTGGTGAAAGAGAACATTCTATAAGCAAAGTATTGAGCAGCCTGGGGAAATTATTGAAAAGTTTCTGTACCCAGATAAGCCTCTCTGCTGATGCAGCAATCCAAATCAAACCGAATTTTAAAGACCACGTTTAATGGATACAATGCTCCTGGATGGCCTTCCAGCTCCCCAGGGAGGAGACAGTAAAGAGAGACAGAAAAACTACAAGCCTATTTTCTGGGAGAATTTTAAATACCCTGTGGGAGTGGTCTTGAGCATCTCTAGGGGAGGGGTCATCATTGAGTGAACTTCCTAAGATGCAGCAGGGTTTGGAGAGAGATAGGGGAGAGGGGCTAGAGTAGAACTTCCACCAGAACATCCCAGACTTGTATGGGTATATGGATGCCAGGGGCTGGGGTGAAGCTTCCACCATAACAATTACCTACATAAATTACAAGACTCCCAAAAGGTGGAGATTGTCTACCTAGTCCTGTAGAACACTCTTGCAGGAAGCTAATATTTCTCTGTCTATGTTCATCACTCGCAGAGAACTAAATAGTGTATCCTATGTCCTTTCTAGCTTACCAGAAACAGAATAACTGTCTTTCTTAGAGAATCAGTCCCTAACTTTCTACCCTTCTTTTTCCTAAGACAATTGTTCAGGGGAAGATTTTGCCCTTTGTACAAATGCTGCTGCTATGTCTTTTTTTTTTTTTTTTTTTTTTTTTGGTTTTACGAGACAGGGTTTCTCTGTATTGTTTTGGAGGCTGTCGGTCCAGCCTGGCCTCGAACTCACAGAGATCCACCTGCCTCTGCCTCCCGAGTGCTGGGATTAAAGGCGTGCGCCACCACCGTCCAGCCCTCATATGCTTTCGAACTCAGTAACATAGAAGAAATCCCAGCACTCGGGAGGCAGGGGCAGGCAGATCTCTGTGAGTTCGAGGCCAGGCTGGACCGACAGCCTCCAAAACAATACAGAGAAACCCTGTCTCGAAAAACAACAAAAAAACCAGAATTATTAATATTTGTGGAATTAGGCTGAAAATACACTAGAGGAATACTTATAATGTAAATCATGGTTGTCTTGGGTGATAGAATCTGAAGTTTTTTCTTGTTTGAGAATAGCTTCCCATGACTAAGAATGACCTAAAATCTGGGCGGTGGTAGCTCATGCCTTTAATCCCAGCATTCGGGAGGTAGAGGCAGGTGGATCTCTGTGAGTTCAAGACCAACCTGGTCTACAAGAGCTAGTTCCAGGACAGGTTCCAAAGCAATACAGAGAAACCCTGTCTTGAAAAAACAAACAAACAAAAACAAGAATGGCCTAAAAGTTGCCATATAATTAAGGATGGCCTTGAACTAATCATACTGTCTCTATATTGGGATTATAGGAATGAGCTGCTTTGACCAGCTAGAACATATATTAAATAGACATACATACATACATACATACATACCAAAACACAAAGCTAGATATGGTGGCACACACCTTTAATCCCAGCACTTGGGAGGCAGTGAGTTCCAGGACAGCCAGGGCCACACAAAGAAACCCAGTGTCAAAAAACCAATAAGTAACCAGAAATTCCTCTGCATTTTCTAAACTCCTCTTCACTTTCATAATTGGAAAGAAAAAGTCATAGCAAAATTACTTTGGGGGCCGGGCGTTGGTGGCGCACGCCTTTAATCCCAGCACTCGGGAGGCAGAGGCAGGCGGATCTCTGTGAGTTCGAGACCAGCCTGGACTACCAAGTGAGTTCCAGGACAGCCTCCAAAGCCAGAGAAACCCTGTCTCGAAAAACCAAAAAAAAAAAAAATTACTTTGGGGTTACTAATTTTGCACTGTAGGGCTGGGGATCAAACCCAGAGTTTCTGTGCATACCATCTGAGCCACAGATCACCAGTCCAGTGAAATGATTTTTGGAAGTCAGCGGCTCAGTCAATTAAGGGTTTCTCTGAATACTTGACTACAATAAATCAACACATACAATGGATCGCATAATGAACAAAGTGTTAATGTCATTAGCATATACAATCATAGATCATTTTGTTTGTTTGAGCTGGCCTGGACTCCTTATGCTTGCCTCTGCCAGTGTTGGGATTAATGACATTTGACACTATACTGCCCCATTCATCCTTTAAAAACCCAAGTGCAGTGTTAATCTCCACTTTAAAAAAAAATAAGGAAGCCTGGGCAGTGGTGATACAGGCACTCAAGGGGCAGAGGCAGGCATATCTCTGAGATTGAGTCTAGCCTGGGCTATAATCGGGACTACAAAGAGAAACCCTGTCTGGAAAAACAAAAACAAACAAGAAAAAAAACAATAGGGAAACTCTGCCATAAATGATACACATTATCCAAATACCCTAGATCTAGGAAATTTTAACTTTTGGAGACAGGGCTTCTCTTTATAGCTTTGAAGCCTGTCCTGGAGCTTGTTCTATAAACCAGGCTGGCCTTGAACTCACAGTGATGGAAATTTTAACTTTTTAAAAAAAGATTTACTTATTTATTATACACACACAGTATTCTGCCTGCATGTACACCTGCAGGCCAGAAAAGGGCATCAGATCTCATTATGGATGGTTGTTGAGCCACCACATGGTTTCTGGAAATTGAACTCAGGTCCTCTGGAAGAGCAGCCAGTGCTTTTAACCACTGAGCCATCTCTCCAGCCCCGGAAATTTTAACTTTTAAGCTATCAGGAAGCAAGCAGAATGAGTAATACAAATTCTGATTTTTTTGACCAATTCACAGAAGAGTATTCAGGTGTATTTGGCAAAATATTAGAAACCAAAATACCAAGTAAAATGTGGTTAGCTGCTTATCTATGTGTTAAAGCTTTCCACAGATTTAGTTTTTCAGTTCCTTTATAGCTCCTCTTAGAAGACTGGTTCTAGTTTAAAGGATGCAAACAAAGTAGGACTCATGTATTCATTCCAAGTGTGTTTTAAACTGGGCATAGTGGCTCCTGTGACTCCACCATTAAGGGAATGAGAGAGGGAGGGAAGAAGGGAGGGAGGAGGGAGGGAGGGAGGAGGGAGGGAGGGAGGGAGGAAGGAAGACAAGAAAAACTACTTACATTTGAATCCAACATTTGCAATTTAACATCAATCTCATGTTCAAGGCCAGCATGGGCTCCATGAGACCCACTCTCAGGGCAGGGAAAGTGCAATGTATCTCTGTTACATTCAAGTATGCACAACTAAAGATGGCTTTTTTTTTTTTTTTTTTTTTTTTGGTTTTACGAGACAGGGTTTCTCTGTATTGTTTTGGAGGCTATCAGTCCAGCCCAACCTCAAACTCACAGAGATCCGCCTGCCTCTGCCTCCGGAGTGCTGGGATTAAAGGCGTGCGCCACCACCGCCCGGCTAAAGATGGTTTTTTAACAGGGTGCTGGAGATTCAAACTTAGGTGCTCTTGCTTGCACAGCAAGCACTCACACCCACTAAGCCATCTTCTGGGACCCAAACATACAAATTTTGATAGAAAATATTCAGGCTTTTTGTTTGTTTGTTTGGTTGGTTGGTTGGTTTTGTTTTTCGAGACGGGGTTTCTCTGTGGCTTCGGAAGCTGTCCTGGAACTATCTCTTGTAGACCAGGCTGCTCTCAAACTCAGAGATTCGCCTGCCTCTGCCTCCCGAGTACTGGGGTTTAAAGCGTGTGCCACCACCACCCGGCCAATAGAAAATATTCAGACATAACTCTTTTTTTTTCTTGCCATATGCCTCATAATTCCTGGGAACCATCTAACTTATATTTGGAAAACACTTTAAGAAAGGAGGATGCCTCAAGATAACTTTCTCTGAAGAGCCTAAATGAATTTTAAAATTCAGACTCATTCACTGACAAAAAGACACTAAATGTGTTTTCCTCTCCTCCACACATCTGCATTTTAGCACACACCCAAACTTTAAAGATTGTTTAAAGTCATCCTAAGAGTGTGGCATTAAAGGATACCTTTGCCATTCATAGTTGTCACCTTAAAGAAATGTCCCCCTAAGATCAGTTTGATGGCTCACACATTTGGTTTCAGTACCTGGGAGGTAGAGGCAGGCAGATATCTTTATGAGAGCAGTCTGGTTTACATAGCAGAGTTTTAGGCCAGCCAAAGCTACATATTGATACCTTGTCTCAAAAAACAAAAACAAGAGGGGCTGAAGAAATTGCTCAGCAGTTAAGAGCACTGTCTGGACCTGGGTTCAATTCCAGGTAGCTCACACCTGCTTGTAACTCCAAGATGTGACACCCTCAGAGACATATACATGCATGCAAAATACCAATGCAAATGAAATAAAAATTAAATTATAAAAAAACATAGAAATCTTACTCGACGATGTAATCCAAAAGTGATTTGACACTTTTAAAAACGATATTTGATTTGAAAGACTTTATTAAATCACAATTTCTAGGCAGAGGCAGGTGGATCTCTGTGAGTTCGAGGCCAGCCTGGTCTACAAGAGCTAGTTCCAGGACAGCCTCCAAAGCCACAGAGAAACCCTGTCTTGAAAAACCAAAAAATAAAAAATAAAAAATAAAATCACAATTTCTGTTCACAGAAGGTGCGACAGGGATTCTCCGAATTTACAGAATGTATGACCCGGTGGCTATTTCCAACCCGTGTGTTGCAGTTTTGTTAGAATTTTGCCTCCTCTAGACTGGCCTTCTCCGCTAACTTCAGGAACCGGTCACCAGCTCCCGGTTCCCACCGGGAAGGCAGATCCGGCTCCGCCCAGAGCCGTGTCTGCTGACCTCACAAAGGTCAATGGCGCTCTTACACCTGGAGGCTTGAGTCGCCGCCACCCCCATCCCACCCCAGTGGGAGCAGCAAGGCCAGAGGCAGACTGGGGACTCCCCGAGGTGGGACTGTCACAGCCAGGGCGTTTCACAGAGTCTCTCTGGCTCACAGTCCGTGCACGTACACGGATCTCAGCTGCGTCTAGGGCCAACCCGGGTCGGTAAATTCTCCGGTTGTGCTGCAAGCTCGGGGTTGGATACGAGCGGTTTCCTTGGTCTTTTAAATTTTCCTCTAAGGACCCGTAGCCCTGACAGCATTCCCACTACCCTTCTTAGGGAAGAGGAATACGGTCATTAGGGTTACCGCGGCGCGAGCCCGTGGCAGGGGGAACGGGAGCCAAGGGCACCTTCGCGAGCAGCGCCCGGGGGACCACCGATCCGGCGCCACCGGGACCTCCAGGGTCACCGAACCCAGTCGGAAACCTCTCAAACACGGCGCCAGAGAGTATGGGTGAGAAACCAGGGAGACGCCATCGCACCCCAAAGCCCAGGCTTTGTGTAGCCTTCCTCCAGTAGGTGACCCGGAACCCCACGGAGGACACAGTTCCCGGGGCTGCGGATTGAGAGGCGAAGGACAGGACAAGGCAGGTCCTCAAATGCTCTCTCTCATCAAAAAGGCCACAGGCAGCAACGCGGAAAAAAACCGCACGCGGCCGGACTGCGCACGCGCGCGGAAAGGCCACGGGTTCCTCCTCCCCGTCTCCCCCCACCCCAGGAACGCGCGGTGGCCCGAGCGCGCATGCGCGACTCGCGGAGGGAAACGTTGGAGGGGGAACCCTGTCCATTGTGAGAGAGACCCGCCCCCGCCCCGGCGCGCGCACGCACCACTCTCACAGCCTCACGGGCGCGCGCCACGGCCTCTGCCCAACTCCACGCGCATGCGCGGGGAAGGGGGGTTAGAGAGACACGGAAGGCAACGAAACCTGTGGGCTATTTTTTTTTTTTTGGTGAGTTGCCCTGAGAAGTTTCTGGAAAGGCGGATACAAAGGGAAGCTGTGGGGGGTGGGACTGCGAGCTATTTTTCTTTTTTTGGGAGAGAAGCCAGCGAAAAATCCCAAAGCACAGAGCCCCATCTCGGGAGGAGACGTGGTGACAGCAGCCGGCCCAGCGAGCGCTCACGGCGGGGACGTTAGCAGTCAGCGCGGCGGGGGGCGCGCCCGCGGTTCGGGGGGACCCCGGCCCGCCAGGCCACACTCGTCTTCTCGCGGCTTCCCCGGGGCTAACGGGTGGCATGCGCCCCCACGAGCTCCTTCCCTTGCGAGTCGGGAGGGTGCAGGGGGCGCGCGGACGGCGTGGGAAGGAAGATCCGAAAGCGGGGGGCCGGGCTGCCGCCGGCCGCCCGTGCCGCCCTCCCGGCTGCCATTTTGTGGCGCGGCCGCCATTTCGCGCGGCCCGGGGGCGGGGGAAGGGGCGTGGCGCGCGGCCCCGCGGCTCGCGATGGGCGTGGCCGGCGGCGGGCGCGGCCCCGGACCCCTTTGTTCTTCGCCTGGGGTCGTGGGGGCCCCCTCGGGGCTCTGCCGCCCCGCGTCGCCGCGTGTGAACAGTGAGACGCAGCCGCGTGGAGTGCGGGATCCCAGAGCCCATCGGAAGCGGGGTGTGTCCCTGTGCGGGGATGACGTCCTGCGTGGGCAGCCTGGGACCGCCGCGGTGGGAAGGGGTTGAGGGCGGGCCTCGCTCGGCATCCTGGACCCCTGCGGAACAGTGTCAGGTGCGGACGGAGGCCGCGAGGGCCGCCCGCACGGTCGGGAAAGTTAACAAAGGTGCTGCAGCTCGGGGTAACCGAGCGCCGGGAGGCGGGGCTCCTTCCTGCAGCCCACGAGCTGGGGGTGCACTGAGAGCCTGCCTTCCATTGGCTGGCTCTCCGGCACAAGGCTTTCATGGTCCATTCTCTGATCCAAAAGCTCGAACAATAAATATGTTGTGCTGGCTTTCGTCTGTCTGTCGAGATCAACTTCCATTTATTTTTAAAAACCTATCTGTTTATAAAAAAAATAATAAGATACGTGCTTGGCAGAGGCCTTTCGCGTTCTGAAAAAGCAGTTGTCTGGCTTCTTAGGGAATCTTTCAAACGCGAGTCTTGGTGTGTTTAATGTCGAAAGTTGTGGCACTATTTAACAAAGCCAGGAAGCTCGAAACACTCATGCTGCTAAATTTGTCTTCCAGCTTTGTTTTTGTGTAACTTTGTTTTAACGGTTTACGTGGTTTTTCTTCACAACAGCCTGATATAAAGGAACCAGCCCTTCCTGACTCATCTATTTGCGTCTAGGCTACAGTAGGCTTCTTAAGGCTTTGGTTTTTTTTTTTTTCTCATTGTGTATAATTATGGAGATTATGTTTTCTGTAATAGTGGGGTAAAGCTTATGATGACAGGATTAAAAGGTCAAAAACATTGTTGAGGGAACCGATCAGGATTTTGATGGCTTCCAGATGAGAAAAATATAGGATTCTCAAATTTTGTTTCATGAGTAGGTAGCCTGATGGAGTTCTAAAACTTTATACTTTGTCTTTACATAAATTTTCTGAAACAAACCTTTTGGTAGTGATTGCTTAAAATATGTTGTCTTTTATCACGCTGTTTTCTTTTGCCTGTAATCAAATAAAATCTTAAACTGGGACATTAGAATAGTGTGACAAAATATACTGTTAACTAATGGATTGACATTCAGGTCATGATTTCTCAGCATTTCGTCGAGCAGATGACAAGGGTCTTATAAAATTTTGAGTTCTAGTTTCTTGGGTCTTTTTTGTTTTTGAGACAGACTCTTAGCATTTGTAGCTGAGGATAAAGTTGAGACAAGAACCTCTGGTCTTGCAGGGCAGGGGTGACACACGCCTTTAATCCCAGCACCCAGAAGCAGAGGCAGGCAGATCTCTTGAATTCGAGGCCTGCTTGGTCTACAAAGCAAGTGCTAGGAATGTTACACAGAGAAACCCTATCTTGAAAAACAAAAAGCCAAGAATTTGAAAACACTTTTAAAAAGTATGTTATTCGGGCATTGGTGGACCAGCACTCGGGAGGTAGAGGCAGGTACATCTCTGTGAGTTCCAGGCCAGCTCTAGTCTACAGAACGAGTGCCAGGATAGGCTCCCCCAAAAAAGTATGTATATTGTCCTTGAAGGTCAGGAACCTGTGTGGGTCTCATGGAGCTAGAGTTATGGTCAGTTTGGAGCCACTGTCTTGAGCAATGATAGAAGGGTAGAGAGTTCATAATCGGTGAACATCTCTACATCCCCAGATCCCCAGTTTTGTTTTTTGTTCTTGTTTGGTTTTGTTTTGTTTTGCTTTTCCAGACAGGGTTTCTCCGTGTAGCCCTGGCTGTCCTGGAACCCACTCTGTAGACTAGGCTGGCCTCCAAATCACAGAAATCCACCTGTCTTTGCCTCTCTCCCAAGTGCTGGGATTAAAGGTGTGCATCACCACTGCCCAGCCATTCCCTGATTCTTAAAACAGCTTTATGAGCAGAAATGCTGTGTCCTTCAGCTCACGCATTTGGATTTTATTTTCTTTCCCCGTTTGCATTTGGTGAAGTTTTGTGTGCTTTTGAACAATTAGAAACACATTTCTCCTCGTTCTTCTAGGAAAAGACAACTTTTCATGCCAAATCATTCAGAGGAGGGAACTTAAAACTATAACAATAATAACCTTTTCCTGATTTAGATAAATGAGCTTTTTAGAGATCTTAGTTATCTGGGAAGTCCTTCGGAATATTTTTGGCAGCGGTTAGTACTCCTACATGCCTTAATAGTTTTTCCCCTCTGAGGCAAAACTTAGTTGTAAAATGCTTCCCAGCACGTCAGAAGTCCCGAAGTTGAATAGATCTTTACCAGGCAGCAGTTTGCCTTGTGGCGTAACAGGAACACATCTGTAAGTGTTAAAAACACTCAGGAGAACAACACTGACTTGTCCTGAGTGCAAATGGTCATCCCAGAGTAAAACCCATTCGAGTAGGTAATACATACTTCTAAAGATTTCTAGTGCTCCAGTGTGTGTGTGTGTGTGTGTGCGCGTGCACGCGCACATGCAGAAGTGCCTACTGCACATGCAGGACAGAAGATTGGGATCAGATCCCCTGGAACCGAAGTTAGAAGGTAGTCAGCTGCCGTGTAGTTGTGAGCACCCACCATGTACCTGGTCCTGTTGGTGTTTTGAATACATCACTGCATAAAAATACAACAAAGATGCTGAGCAGTGGTGGCGCACGCCTTTAATCCCAGCACTCAGGAGGCAGAGGCAGGTGGATCCAAGAGCTAGTTCAGGACAGCCTCCAGCCTCCAAAGCAACAGAGAAACCCTGTCTCGAAAAACCAAAAAAACGAAAAAAAGTCTCCCAATGGGGAGTGGGAGGAGACCACAAATGCAGAACAAGGAAATGAAAGCCAAAGGTGGGGGGCTGCAGAGGTGCAGGGCTCACTGTTCTGGGTTCCACATCCTTCCCCAAGAAAAACTCCACAGCTAAGGTGAAGAATACAAAGGAGACCTGGTGTTGTAGTGCCAGACTTTAATCCCGACATTAAGGAGGCAGTTGTAGGCAGATCTCTGAGTTCGAGGCCAGCCTGGTCTACAAATCCAGTTCCAGGACAGCCAGGGCAACACAGAGAAACTCTGTCCAGAACAAAGACAAAGGAATCAGAGGCAAAGTCTGCTGTATAACCTTAAATGATCTTGAGGGTAAGCCTCATTAACAAGGAGATGCTTATGCAGGAGCCAAGGGAGCAGTCATGTGGCTGTCAACGGCAGACTCTAGCCAGAGCTTTCATGTAGGAACATAAGCAGCACACAGAAATAGTGTGATTGAAAAACACAAGCAAAGCCGGGTGGTGGTGGTGCACGCCTTTAATCCCAGCACTCGGGGCAGAGGCAGGCGGTCTCTGTGAGTTCAAGACCAGCCTGGTCTACAGAGCGAGTTCCAGGACAGCCTCCAAAACAATACAGAGAAACCCTGTCTCGAAAAACAAACAAACAAACAACAACAACAACAAAAAAAAGACACACAAAGTTGGGCTAGAGAGATGGCTCAGAGGTTAAGAACACTGACTGCTCTTCCAGAGGTCCTGAGTTCAATTCCCAGCAACCACATAGTGGCTCACAACCATCCATTATGAGATCTGGTGTCCTCTTCTGATGTGCAGGCATACATGGAGGCAGGATGTTGTATTCATAATAAATTAATTAATTAAAAAAAAAAGACACACAAAGTTGTTCGTTCCAAGGGAGGGACCAGTAACCCGTTATCTGCCCAGAAGGTTGGGAGCAGATATAGTTAATAGCCTGGTGACCTTTGCACCCAATTCTCTCAGACCCTTATCATGAGTTTCTCAGTCTATGGAATCCATCTTTATGGAAGATGTCAGGTGTACTTTACAAAGAGTTTTGATATAGTCAGGCCTAAAGCTTTTTTTGAGTTAATTATCGCAGCATTGAGTTAATTATCACCAAATTGTGCTATGCCTAAATATGTCTAAAATAAACTACTTGGGGTCAGACCTTTGAAGTTTGAACCAACACCAGCTACTAGGTTGCGTTGAACCAAACTACTGTTTTTTTTGTTTTGTTTTGTTTTTTTGGTTTTTCGAGACAGGGTTTCTCTGTGGCTTTGGAGGCTGTCCTGGAACTCGCTTGGTAGTCCAGGCTGGTCTCGAACTTACAGAGATCCGCCTGCCTCTGCCTCCCGAGTGCTGGGATTAAAGGCGTAAGCCACCAACGCCCGGCAAAAATAAGATTTCTTGTTGGTCAGTAATGACACTCACCTTTAATCCCAGAACCCAAGAGGAAGAAGCAGGAATTTTCAAAGAGTTTGAGGCCAGCCTGATCTATAAAGCAAGTTCCAGGACAGGCTTCAAGCTGCACAAAAAAACCCTGTCTCAAAAAACAAAACAAAACCCCCAAAACAAACAAAACCGTAGTGCTATCAAAGAAGAAGACCCTTGACACTAGTCCCTGGTCATACACTCATGTGAACACAACTGCACACACTACAACAGTGGATATACACACTGCACACACCACAGCAGCAGGTGCACACACTGCACACACTACAACAGTGGTTATACACACTACACACAGCACAGCAGGTGCACACACTGCACACACCACAACAGCAGGTGTACACACTGCACACACCACAGCAGGTGCACACACTGCACACACCACAGCAGCAGGTGCACACACTGAACACACCACAGCAGCAGGTGCACACACTGCACACACCACAGCAGCAGGTGCACACACTGCACACACCACAGCAGCAGGTGCACACACTGCACACACCACAGCAGGTGTACACACTGCACACCCCACAGCAGGTGTACACACTGCACACCCCACAGCAGGTGTACACACTGCACACACCACAGCAGCAGGTGTACACACTGCACACACCACAGCAGGTGCACACACTGCACACACCACAGCAGCAGGTGCACACACTGAACACACCACAGCAGCAGGTGCACACACTGCACACACCACAGCAGCAGGTGCACACACTGCACACACCACAGCAGCAGGTGCACACACTGCACACACCACAGCAGGTGTACACACTGCACACCCCACAGCAGGTGTACACACTGCACACCCCACAGCAGGTGTACACACTGCACACACCACAGCAGCAGGTGTACACACTGCACACACCACAACAGCAGGTGCACACACTGCACACACCACAGCAGGTGTACAACTGCACACACTACAACAGTGGGTATACACACTACACACACCACAGCAGCAGGTGTACACACTGCACACACCACAGCAGGTGCACACACTGCACACACCACAACAGCAGGTGCACACACTGCACATAGCACAGCAGGTGTAAACACTGCACACACCACAGCAGGTGCACACACTGCACACACCACAACAGCAGGTGCACACACTGCACACACCACAGCAGCAGGTGTACACACTGCACACACCACAACAGCAGGTGCACACACTGCACACACCACTGCAGCAGGTGCACACACTGCACACACCACAGCAGGTGTACACACTGCACACACCACAACAGGTGTACACACTGCACACACCACAGCAGCAGGTGTACACACTGCACACACCACAGCAGCAGGTGTACACACTGCACACACCACAACAGCAGGTGCACACACTACACACACCACAGCAGCAGGTGTAAACACTGCACACACCACAATAGCAGGTGTACACACTGCACACACCACAGCAGCAAGTGCACACACTGCACACACCACAGCAGCAGGTGCACACACTGCACACACCACAGCAGCAGGTGTACACACTGCACACACCACAGCAGCAGGTGTACACACTGCACACACAACAGCAGCAGGTGCACACACTGCACACACAACAGCAGGTGTACACACTGCACACACCACAACAGCAGGTGCACACACTGCACACACCACAACAGCAGGTGCACACACTGCACACACCACAACAGCAGGTGCACACACTGCACACACCACAGCAGGTGTACACACTGCACACACCGCAGCAGCAGGTGTACACACTGCACACCCCACAGCAGGTGTACACACTGCACACACCACAGCAGGTGCACACACTGCACACACCACAACAGCAGGTGCACACACTGCACACACCACAGCAGGTGTACACACTGCACACACCACAGCAGGTATACACACTGCACACACCACAACAGCAGGTGCACACACTGCACACACCACAGCAGGTGCACACACTGCACACACCACAGCAGGTGTACACACTGCACACACCCACATGAATGTCACATCACAGGAAAAAAAGCCACCTCTTTAAGTGTGTGTTTGTGGGGATTAGGAGTTGAAGGTCAACCTCAGCTACATAATGGCTTTGAGGTCAGCCTGGGATGTGTGAGACTCCCATCTCAAACAAACAAAAAGACAGTCCTGGGAGAAGGCTCAGTGGGTGTGGTGGTTTGGATGTAATTGGCCCCCTAGGCTCATAGGAGTGGCACTATTAGGAGTTGTGTCCTTCTTGGAGTAGGAGTGGCTTTGTTGGAGGAAGTGTCACTGGGGGTGGGTTTTGGCATTTCAAATGCTCAAGTCATGCCCAGTGTCTCTCTCTTTCTCTTCCTGCTGCCAACACACTGGAGTACAGAACTCCCAGCTACTCTCCAGAACCGTGTCCACCTGCACACCGCCATGCTTCCCGCCATGATGATAATGGAGTGAACCTCTGAACTGTAAGCCAGCCCCAATTAAATGTTTTCCTTTATATGAGTTGCTGTGGGTATGGTGTCTCTTCACAGCAATAGAAACCCTAGTTAAGGCAGTTAATAAAAGTAGTAGCTATAGAAACCCCTGAACCAGCCGGGCGTTGGTGGCGCACGCCTTTAATCCCAGCACTCGGGAGGCAAAGGCAGGAGGATCTCTGTGAGTTCGAGACCAGCCTGGTCTACAAGAGCTAGTTCCAGGACAGCCTCCAAAGCCACAGAGAAACCCTGTCTCGAAAAAACAAAAAAAAAAAAAAAAAAAGAAAGAAACCCCTGAACCAATGTAAGCAGCTGGATTTGGTGGCAAGCATCTGCGATCCCATTACTCCTGTGGAGAAATAGGTGGGGACAGAAGTCAGCTAGCCTGGAGGGGCAGCTGCAGCAAGAGAAATGAGAGAGGCCCTGTCAGCAAGGTGGAAGCAAGAGCTGACTCCCCTAAATTGTCCTGTGACCTCCACACTCATGCTATGGTATAAGAACATGTCAGTGCACACACACACACACACACACACACACACTAAAAATGAACAAAAGCCTATTTCTTTAACAAGCCAGTTAATTGACTCAAATGTATTTGTAGTGCTCTGAATACATCTTTGCTCTTTGTGGAGGTTTTGTTTCAGACAGGGTTTCTCTGTATAACCTGGCTGTCTTGGAACATCAGTGGAGATTTTATTATGAAAATCTTAGCCGGGCGTTGGTGGCGCACGCCTTTGATCCCAGCACTCAGGAGGCAAAGGCAGGAGGATCTCTGTGAGTTCGAGACCAGCCTGGTCTACAAGAGCTAGTTCCAGGACAGCCTCCAAAGCCACAGAGAAACCCTGTCTCGAAAAACCAAAAAAAAAAAAGAAAAAAAAAGGAAAAAAAAAAGAAAATCTTGCTTCCTTAAAAGGGTCAAGAGAAACATTGGAAAATGTTAAAGGCTTATGTCTCCTTTCAAAAATAAGAAAAAAAGAAGTGTGGTATATTTTCCCATTATATTGGGAAAATTGAAACCATTTCTGCAAAGAACATCCTGAATATTTTTTCTAACCATTGGTTATATGACTTCTGAAGAAACTGGACCAGTTTTTTGTTTTAGAGACAAGATCTCTTTTTAAATGAATTTACATATAGTATATGGTCTTTGTGCTAAACATACCTAGATAATATTCTGCATTTGTTGAATAGATATTTTGTTGGCGGGGGTTTGCTAAAAAGCATGAAAATTGCTAGAATAAATCAGTGTAGCAGCATCAAATACCCATAATCCCAGTCCTGGGAAGGCTGTAGTAGGAGGATTGGCATACCCTGTTTCCAAAAAAAAGAAAAGAAAAGAAAAATTGGAATATCAGGGCTGGGCATGTATCTCAGTGGTGGAGTTTTTTTTTTTTTTGTTATATTTACTTATGTTTTATAGCCCAGTAGCTTTGAACTGGATCCTTCTACATTAGCCTCCAGTTGCCTGCTGCTTTTGTTTCTCTTCTGTTGCTTTGATTGTTGTTTTGTTTTGTTCTGTTTTAACCCCAGGACAGGGCTTCTTAGTGTAGTTCTGGCTGTCCTGGAACTCGCTCTGTAGACCAGGCTGGCCTGGAACTCACAGAAATCCCCCTGCCTCTGCCTCCCCAGTGCTGGGGTTAAAGGTGTGGGCCACCACCGCCCTTTTATTTGCTTTTAAGGCAAAAGAGAGACAACACATTCATACCCCACTCCTGATGACAAAGGAAGTGGGTCTACGTGTGAGTAGTGGACAGAGTTAACCACGTGTTCCATGTCCTGAGTAAAGACTGGCTTCAGATGGGAATATAAATAGCTCTCTAGTGGAGGCCGAAAGCAGAGAGCATTGAAACATACGCTGGCAAGCAGATGCGGTTGAGTGAGTCCATACAAGAAATGCCTCTAATTGGCTAAGAAAGAGCCGTGATCACTATGACTTCATTCTTCCACTTCGGCACCTGTCGAAGGCGCTGGGTTCCCATTTTGTATCCTGGGTAGGTTATGTAAGTGTTTCTGGCTGTGTTTTGTTGTGTTTTATTCCACATGAAATAATCATCTTCTAGAGCAATGCCTGGCAAACAGTGCTTACTCATGAAATATTCATTGGGCTTTAGAAATGAAACCATTATCTGTACTGCACAAGGTGCAGCCTGTGATGCCAGCACCAGGGAAGGTAAAACACCAGCCAGCCTGAGCTACATAACAAGTTTGAGGGGAGCAGCCTGGGTTACATAAGACTGTCTCAAAAAACAAGAGCAAAATATATAAACCTGACATTGTGTCATACCCTTGTCATCCTAGCACTTAGAAGTTAGAAGGCTGCCGGGCGTTGGTGGCGCATGCCTTTAATCCCAGCACTCGGGAGGCAGAGGCAGGAGGATCTCTGTGAGTTCGAGACCAGCCTGGACTACCAAGCGAGTTCCAGGGCAGCCTCCAAAGCCACAGAGAAACTCTGTCTCGAAAAACCAAAAAAAAAAAAAAAAAAAAAAAAAAAAGAAGTTAGAAGGCTGAAGCAGGAGGACCAGAGTTCAAGTTCATCCCTAGCTATTCAGTGAGTTTCAAGCCAGCCTGGTCTACATAAGACTATATATCTCATCTGGAGAGATGGCTCTTTCTGAAGACCTGAATTTGATACCCAGAACCTACATGGCAGCTCTCAATTCTATATAACTCCAGTTCCAGGGGGTCTGAAGCCTTCTTCCAGCCTCCGCAGGTACCAGGCTTGCTTAGGGCGCACATATATACATTCAGGCAAAATACACATACACATAAAACAATAGTAATTTTAAAACGCTGTATCTCAAACAAATAAGTAAAATCAAGGCAAACAAACGCCCCATACTGCAACTGTGTTGCTCACAGGATATTTGATCAACTGTGAACCCGGAGTTTACATTAATTAAATAAAACCTTTGGTCAAGATGCAGAGCCAGAGCCGGGCGTTGGTGGCGCACGCCTTTAATCCCAGCACTCGGGAGGCAGAGGCAGGTGGATCTCTGTGAGTTCGAGACCAGCCTGGTCTACAAGAGCTAGTTCCAGGACAGCCTCCAAAAGCCACAGAGAAACCCTGTCTCGAAAAACAAAAAACAAAAAACAAAACAAAACAAAAAAAAAGATGCAGAGCCAGCAATCGGTTGACAGGAAGTAACCATAGAGAGTTAGAGGGAGTCAGGAAAACGGATGGAGAAATACATGGGAATTAGTAGGGAGGGACTTTGAGTTTGGCAGTTCTTTTTGGCTTGGGCAGGGCATATTTTTAACTAATGATTAATTCAGGAGGGTCCAGCCCATTTTGGATGGGGCCATCCCTGGGTTGGTGGTCCTGGGTGCTATAGAAATGCAGGCAGAGCAAGTAGAGGCCTCTGCAGCTCCTGCCTCAGCCCCTGCCTCCCAGTCCCTTCCCTGTTTGAGTTCCCATCCTGACATCCTTCAGTGATGGACTATGGATGTGGATGGAAACTGAATAAATTCTTTCCTCCCCAACTTGCCTTTTGGTCATAGTGTTTCAACCCAGCAGTAGAAACCCTAAGACACAGACTGTAGCAGGAGAACCAAGCATTCAAGACCACCTTTGACTGCACAGTGAGTTTCAGGCCAGTCTGAACTACATGAGACCCTGTCTCCACAAAAATGTCAACATTTTACTCTATGTGCTGTAGTTCTCTCGTTCTCTCTCTCTCTCTCTCTCTCTCTCTCTCTCTCTCTTTAATTTTCAATTACCCCACTGGAGTTTCTTTTCTTTTTTAATCTAGTCAAAGTGCTTTTATCATGACAAATGTTATTTAAGCTTCAGCTGTTAATGTGAGGATGTGAACAACTCCCAGATGTAAAGTTACAGAGCATGAGGCGACTATCCACTGAATTTCTTGACTCCACATATGGATTACTTTTTCCCTTTAGATTTGAGGGATATACTAATTTGGAAAGAGCTGCCAATTTGAATTGCTTGGCTCTAGCTGAGAAGGCTCAGGTGTACAACTCTTAGCGTTCAAGCACAGGGGCCTGCCTGTTCCATCCCCACAGCCCAGGGAGGAAAGCTCAGTGTGTTGACACACACTCTGTCTCAAACACCAAGGTGCAGCCTAAATTTGGTCCTGGATCCCAAAATGGAAGCAGAGAACTCCTGAAAGTTGTCCTCTGACCTCTGTGCGCGCACATGCGGACACACACACACACACACACACACACACACTCACACACGATGATAATAATTTCATTAAAGGGTGGACACAGCATTCCTAAAGAACAACACCAAGGCCAGGCGTTGGTGGCACAATCTTTTTAATCCCAGCACTCAGGAGGCAGAGGCAGGAGGATCGCTGTGAGTTCAATGCCAGCCTGGTCTACAGTGCAAGTTCCAGGACAGCCTCAAAACAATACAGAGAAACCCTCCTCCAAAAAAAAAAAAAAAAAAAGACCTTTAGGCTGGAGAGTTGGCTCAGTGTTTAAGAGCACTAGCTGCTCTTCCAGAGGTCCTGAGTTCGATTCCCATCAACCTCATAGTAGCTCACAACCATCCGTAATGAGATCAGGCGCCCTTTTCTGGCCTGCAGCATACATGCCTATAGAACATTATATATGTAATAAATAAATAAATCTTTAAAAAAAAGTTTGAAAGACCTTTAAGCTAATCAGGAACAGGAGAGCTTCAGAAAGGAAGTCCCAGAGCACAGTGACCCTGCTGGGTGCACAGGAGTTACCATGTGATGTTACCTCCCTTTTGAGACAAGGTCTCATGTAGCCTGGGCTGGCTCTGAACTCCATATGTAATCTAGGGTGACCTTGAAGTTCAGACTTCTCTGTCTCTACCTTTGGAGTCCTATGCCCAGCTTATATGACCCTCGGAATGGAATCCAGGGTGTTGTGCATGTTTGGCACCTGAACTATACCCCAACCCTCCTCCTCCTCTTATTTTTGGTTTGCTGAGACAGGGTTTGTCTGTGTAGTCCTGTATTGATGTATGTTTGAGGCCAGCCTGGCCTACAGATTGAGTT